AGCCAGGCACACGAGAAAATCCTGGCCCAGACAGACTGAGCTGCTCATTCCTTCCTGGAAAATGTCAAACATACACAAAAGGATGGGACACAGCACTCTGACCCTGGAGAGGAGTGGATGGAGCCCCTCCAGCTTTGGTGTTTTCAGTGACGCCTATCTCCACACTCTTCAAATTATGCTGAAGCCTAGGCTGCCCCAGTTCCTCTTCCCTAAAAATAACCCAACCCGCTCTAAGTCCAGCTCTGCAGCCTGCACTCCCTGGGCCTATGTGAGCTCAGACAGCCACAGCCCCCCTGTACGGACGGGCAGGACACCTGGTGCGCGCTGCCTTGGGGCTGCTTCAGGCACGTTCCCCTATTCCCTCCTGGCCCGGCCCTTCTGCAGGGCCCTGGTGTGCACCCTGGGCCCAGGGCCCGTGGAGCACGCCGAGTGCTTTGGCTGTGCAGCTGCAGGGCTGACAGGCTGGCAGTGCCTTCCTGGTTCTCGTTCCATCTGCATTTCCCCCAGAGACACGACCACTTAGAACCTATAAATCCCTGGCAGAGCTGCGGGCCCGGGCGAGTATATAAATCAGGACTTATAAAAGTGTAATGGTCCCCTCTGGACAGCAGAGAGGGCCCGTGCCAGAAGCCCTCAGGCAGCTCCCTGGACCCGAGTGTCGGCAGGGTGGGGCAGGCCAGGCGCTGGTGCCACAGGTCTGCTCTGGGTGGGGCAGGCCAGGCGCTGGTGCCACAGTTCTGCTTTGAATTCCAGCTCTGCGGAGCCAGCAGGCCTCGGGCAACTGGCTCTCGGAGCCTCCGTTCTGTGAAATGGGTAACGACGTTCACCTCGCAGGGTGCCTCCACACAGCCGCACCAGCTCTCTGGGCGGAGAACGTGGGCATCACTCTTCAGGTGGACTGAAGGGGCCGGGTGGGCAGAATGCGGGCACTGACCTGCCACCTGCTCTGCAGCTCCGGATGAGTCGTATCCCTCTCTGTGCCCATGCGCCCCTTGGATGGGTGGGCCAAGTTCAGTGTCTGTGGCCCTGCTCTGCGTGTCCTCAGTCGTGTCCTCGCTTGTGTCCCTGGCCCACTGGCGGGTTTAACACATGGCACTGAATTGTGCCGTTGCCTGGTGCCGTTCTAGGGGGGCAGTCACAGTGACAAGGGCAAATCAGGGCATGCCTTGGGGTGCATGTTCTAGGGGGAGCTTCACCAGGCTAGTTCCAACCCAGAGGTGGGGTATCCCAAGGTCGCTGCCCTGGCCTCCCCTTGCTGGACCCCCCTCTGTTCTCCACTCCTGGCTGGAGTAGGTAGGGACAGAGGCTGGAAGGTGGCACAGAAGCTGGTTTCCATTCTGACGTCGGAGTGGGGCTGGCAGCCTCAATGGCCCTCTCAGCCTTGAGCGTTGGGGTCCCGAGATAACTCACTGGGGTGCCAGCAGGAATTGGGGAGCCCCTGGAGGGTGAGACCAGACAGGGAGGCCCACCAGTGTCCCACATGGAGCAGACCCAGACTCTGGCCATGCAGGGCAGGAAGTGAGGTCCTGAGGCCCGACATTTTCCCAGACCTCCGGGAGCGGGGAGGGGGTGGAGTGAGGATGGGGCTCTTCCACCAGGATGCTCCTGGGAGTCTCCTTCCAGCCCTCCCTGCCCTTTACTACCATGCTCTGGGTTTCCCCAGCACCCACTGCACCTCTCTGGGCCATAGAGAACCAGGGAGAGGAAGGAGGGAGCAGGGAAAG